TTAATACATTCCACGCTTCTCGCGCTTCTCTCTCTCGTACACATTACGGCGTCAGCCTAATTTGAGCCAAACCAAACAATGCATATTCCCGGGTGTTCTCAGATTTACTGGCATCCAAATTCTCTATCGAAAAAATATGGAAACAGAAACAGAGAAGATCTCTTTCTGTCTTTCAGTTGAGGTAACGTAAAAACGAATCGATTCATACTTTGGAACCGTTTCATGCATTTCAATGATCGCAAATCTATTCTCAAATGTTCATTGCATGAAATCTTGAATTGTTTTGTACCAGTACCAATCCAACGTGGACAGCAAAGAAATGTACGAGTTTTTGGAAACAAGCAATGGCTAAGAAAAATTTTGGTCGAAAGTCTTCACCATGCAGGGACTTGAAAGTTATCTGCAAGCTTTTTATAAAATGAACACACAGTAGGTGTTTTAAAAAAAATTTGGGTTTTATTCATACATCGTGCATCTCTTTGTAATTTTTTTATGTAATTTCTTAATAAGGAGTGCTGGTGACATTTCAATGACAAGCTGCCATCTCACACTTTAACAGTGTTTCGTTTTCAATTCTGCAATGCTGTTGGTTGCAAAAAATGGCGAAGGATCTTGAAGCTCTTTGGCTCTTTTTGATGGACCTGTTACCCTACCTTTGAGAGATCATCCATTGATAATCAACAAAAATAACATTATTATTCCGATGTTTTACTCTAGGGTAATGTAATTTTCAGTGCCTTTCTCATCTATAACTTGGCCTGTGTCTTGGAATTTAATTAAAATTTGTAATTAAATTTCATTTTAATTTACATGAAATATAATTCCTTTGACGCTTTGAATATTCATAAATCTGTGAAGGAAGGAATAATTTTCCGCATTATCTTTTTAAAACCCTACATCATAAAATATATAAAGTTGATTGAAGCCCAAACTCTTAATTTTATATTAGTTATTAAATCAAAGGGCGGTGAATAATTTTGAAGTTTTCTTTTTTAATAAACAACTGTACATTCTACAAAAGTAAGGTAAGTCTTAAAATCATGCTAAGTAGCAACGTTTCCAACAAACTGGACTTAAAAATTTGAGGTTCGTTTGGAAAACAAATGTAAAAATGAATCATATATTCTCTTAGGAATGAAATTGCTCGCAGCCGGCTTTGCTGTACTATACCAAAAATGTTACAACAGTTATTCCCTAGAAAATCCCATTTTTCGACGATATCGGGGGAAGTTTTACTTCAACTCATAACCATTGAAAATTACTCATTTGGTGTGTCTAACCTAGTTTCAGCGGAATATGTATCAAGCAATTTTTTGCAGCACTTTTTGTAAAGCTACTAGGAATGGCAGTTGCATAAAGCAGAGGTATCTAACTGCATCTCTTAAAAGTCGTTTAGCAATTTTCTTGCTATATAGTGGTCAGACACACACATCGTTATTTATGATTTTCATGCAATATCTTCAAAATATAACTAATAACCGTACAGCATAATCAAGTCATTTTAGTTATGTTTGGGCACTTGTACAGGATTGACATGCTAACCGACAAGTAAACGTGTTTGAGAAAAAGTCAAGTAATACGAACACCATTATGAATATCTTATGTGATTTATCTCTGCTTATTTAATGTTATTACGATCAATAGAATTTTCATTTTGTGTTCAGGTTTCACTAAACCTTTTTATTTTCTTATAATCTTCATCCAACAAGCCATGGCCATTTAAAAAAATAATCACTGAATTATTTAGGACTGAAAAGTCCACTCAAATGCACATAATTCCAATATAACGTCCATATGAGAAACTGCTGATGGAAGTCGAAAGAAGAAATCTCGAATAGAAAAATTAACTACGTCATCTTGTAGAGGAGAATAAGACAAAACGGCAAAATTCAATTCATTTTGAAATCCCGTATGAAATAAAGTCACGAAAAAATAAAAATGATTTTGGAATAAATCTAGTATGCGAAACAAATGACTATCTGATAATTTCAAGGCCTGCCTAGAAACCCCTGTTTTTCTGGAATGACTAAGGTTTGGCAATGTCAATGTTTGGCATATTATAAATTTTTCAAAACAGAATTAAAAGCTCTATTCATATGCGCAAAAAATCCAATATGGCGTAAATAAGAAAAAATTAAGTTGTTGCTGGAGGACAAGAGACGAAACGTCATATTGAAAATCTAATTATACCTTCTTGTAGAGGGGAGAAGGTGGCAATTTTAATATGGAATTTATTTAAAAATACCACTCTGTCGCTATCTGGAAGCACAAGTACTTTGAATTTCGAAACATCATTTTGTTGATTACCTAAATATGCAACATTGCGCCCATCTAAGCGGCCTCGTATCTCTTACAGTTTCCGAGATCCCAATGGTGAGGCTCGAATTTGAAACACCCGGTATAATATAAAGATTTTAGAATGTCTCAGCTGAAGATAGTAAAGCATAATTCGAATTTTGTAACTAAGCTTCATATTCCTTCAACTACCTGGCTGATATGTTCTGACCATCTGAGTTGGCTGTCTAGTGCAACACCTGAATACTTCATGCTACTCTGAGATTCTATATTAAAATTATTGATACTTAGACATGTAGGATTCATAAGAGGTAAATGGTAAAAAATATGTTTTTTTCAATTTACCGAGAAGCTTCTTGCTATTAAAATATTCAACTATTTTTTGTAAAATCTGTTTCTGCTAAAACTTTTAGATTGTGCCACGAATTATGTTTATATAATACCGCCAAGTCATCCGCAAAACTAATATCTCCAGTAGTTTACACCTTAAACAAATTATTAATCTAGAGCAAGAATAATAACGGTCCTAGCACCGAGCCCTGTGGTATGCCACAGCTGGTGTCCAAATATCTACTTTAAGTGCCTCATATTGTGATACACTGCTTTCAGCCACACAAATAACTAGAAATCATCTTGTAGGATATACCTCTGAACCCAAGATGTTCCAACGTATGTAGCAAATTTTTTTGACATAAGGTGTCGAACGCCTTGGCCAATATCACAAATATAGAAGGAGTTGGAGCTGATACATCAACTACCGCATTTATTTGTGAAAGAATACTTGCATGCTGTATTGATCTGCCTTTTTGGAACCCATACTCTTTCTGACAGAATACTAGACTTAGTTAGAAAAGAAGATATTCGCGGATATAGAATACTTTAGCCAAAACCGAAAGTAAAGAAATAATTATTACCTTCCCTGTCGCTACCGATTTTATGAAGTGGCTTAATCACAGAAACCTTCAAACATTTTGGAAAAATGTCTAGTAAATTGCAACTATTCAATAAGAAAGTCAGTGGTCTGATATTATACTGGCAATATTGTTTCAAAATTTCGACTCTAATTCGATCTACTCCTGAAAGCAAGACAGTATGACAGGGGGATTTGGAGGATAACCATTAGTCACTGAATAAGGCACTGCAGGACGCCATTAAGAACAAGGGACGAACTGGCGCGGCAAAAGCAATGAAAATGGCAATGAACAAAATACATAGGCGTAGTGTATCTGTCACATGAACACGCGATAAATGGTATGACCATTAAAAATGAATATCGTTAGCTGGGCCGTACCTCTTAAGGATTAGCGATACTGAGTGCATAGTTCAGAACATTCCAACAATAGCTACTGTAAGGTAGAACAATTTTATGCCTTACATAAATAAAAATTACCCGCTTCATGTAGATGCGAAATAGTTTCTGTCAAATAAACCAACTATCTCAGCAGATCCGTCAAAGACTCCGTCAAAAAGAACGCATGTTTTTTAAATGAGTAGTACAGTCAAAATGAGTATGGGAAAAATATTTTATTTTATCAAAATACTCATTTTTTGAGTAAAACAAAATTTACGTTCGAAAAAATATATCTGCCATATGGCGCCCTTAAGCCGAAATGCAGGAATCAAGCCTCTCCCGAAATGAGCTCATTACGTCGGCCAGCATCCGTGCAGGAATTTGGGTTACTTCTCTTCTTATTTCCTCCATCAAATCGACGAGGGTCCGAGGCTTGCTTTGGTAGACTTTTGATTTCAGGTAGCCCCATAAAAAAATCACATGTTGACAGGTCCGGGGAGCAAGGGGGCCATGGAATATCGCCATGATATAAAAGGAGATCGAAGTGCGAACTGCGTGAGATGTTGCCCCGCCTTGTTGGAACCACACTGTTCTGAGACAGACACGTCGACGTCGAAGATCCGGAAAAAAATGTTGTTCAGCATGTGGATGTAACGCTCTGAATATACAGTAGTTGTTTCTCCATCAAAAAAAGAAGGGCCAATAATCATCGTTGGGCCTACTGCACACCAAACTTTCGGGGTATGCAGGGCGTGCTCATTCAACTGTTGGGAGTTCACTGGAGACCAATATCGACAATTTTGTTTATTGACGTGTCCATGTAAATGAAAATGTGCTTCATCTCTCATAAACAACGTCATGTCATTGCTGTCCAACTGTTCAATCATGAGCTGTGCAAAATTAACAAGTTGTGCATAATTTCCTGACAACAGTTGTTGACAAACTTGGATTTTTTAAGGACGGAACACTAAATCCTTCTTCAAGATTCGACATACAGAGAACGCGTGGATCCCTAGGGAACTGGTACGCAAACGGACGGAAAGATTCGAGCGTTGCAGCGTGTCAACTCTCACTCTGTGTACGTTTTCGGGGGTTCTAACAGTACGGTTTCGCGTGATGAATGCTTCCACCTATCTCAAAATGGTGTTACGGTCTGGTACTATCTCACGACGTGGAACACGAAAGTGATCGCGAAACTCACATTGCTTTCGAACTCGCCATTTTGAAAGTACCGACGTACAGTGAACACCCGATGCTCAACGTTCCAAACCATCTCGCCCACTGAAACGGCACTTCTCCCACTATCCAACACGCCCTTCCGCACCGACACCGGACCAGCCCACTCAAGGTAGTACCCATTCGAAAACATGCGTTCTTTCGGACGTTCCCTATACGTGTATTTTCATTAAGATCATGCTACATGGGTGATTTACTGTTTATTTTCCATTATTATACTTAGAGCGTACGAAAACATTGGTCATTGATACCCGCTGAATATATCCAAAATGAAGATATATATAGTGATAATATCTACGTAGAGCTGCAAAGCTCCAAGGATGTATTCTTCGGGAGACAGTTGGATTCTCTTTCCGCCTACAACTTGTTGAGTATCGTATATCAAAATCTGAAAATCAGAAATTCTTATCTCTACATGTTTCGGTTGTTTTTCGAGCAGATTCAAGGTAATGGAAAGTTAAATGGTTATCACTAATTATCAACATCAAAGTGATATTTAAGAAATGTATTTGCAGTATAATTGTTTATACTTTTTCATTACGTAACTGTAACTATAATATATATATATATATATATATATATATATATATATTAAAAACTTAGTCATGAGCTTACCATGGACGTTAGTAGACAAACTAGGCACGAATAGATGAGATTTAAAATCGGGTTTCCAGTGAATGCATATACTACCCCTGCAACTACCCCATATACAATCACTATGAGACCGGCTATGCAGAAGTAAATTCCCCAAGTTGTTATGTCAAACTGAAAACAAGACAATATTCAGTATTGTTGAATCTAAATAAGAATTGGGATCTAAGACCGAACATTCTTTATTGTCCATCATATATTTTTAGATTACTAGAATCAAGTTTTTTAATAAGTCCTTAAACATATGTTTGTAAAATGGTATTTAATATCTCACAGGGTACGAGAAGCATCGCAAGAAATAAAAGAGTGGATCTATTTTGTATTATCATACGAGACCTGATACCTTATCTCCTCCCCTAATCTACTTGTAATAAAGGAACAACTGTTTTACGAGTATATTTTTCGTATTTCTACATTATCCCTGTTAACATCAATACATTTGTTTAATCGGTACCCCAGCATCCAAATAGTCAATAAAAATGATCTCCGGCTGCTTAAAATCACTACCTTACGGCAAGTATCCGCTGGTGATTACTTAAAAAATTCGCTGGTGAATATTGATTTAATTTCGGAAATGGTCTGCAATCACTGGAGATGAAGTTTGGCGAATGCGATTGTTAATGTACCAAATCAAACCCTGGTTGGAAGCATTATCCTGTTGAGATAGTATGCTAATTGTTAAATTTTCTGTTTAAGAACATTTCGCGGTTTCGAGATTAACTTTTCGTAACAGATAGATCCCACCATATCACCCACCATACTTCGATCAGTCGTTACCTTTGCAGGTGGATCGCCGCCATATTAGTCCTCTCGATACCATCTTTTAATTACAAGATAAGAAACTGTACATTCTCCCACAGTCGCAACAATGTTTTTTTAATTTGAGTGGGCGTCATACCTTTCTTTGCCGACATTTCGTTACATCTTATCGCTCAATATTTGTACTATCATTTTATCAAAAGACTTATCAGACATGAACCAAAAAGCAGGTAACTCCAAATCAGGTTGACATATAAACTTTTGTTAACATAAGATCATTTGTTTTGCTGTCGACAATTTCCATCAGATAAGCAACTGCGATGGGTCAGGGGAGGATGTAAGGGTATAATTAATGAGGTTCTGGTTCATTTCTTACACTACTACTCTTCTAAGTGATGTGAGTCATCCACCTGGGATCGGTTTATTGTTGGCTCGGGCGACAATCTTGTACTTACCCAGTTTTGACAGGCAATAAACGTTAGCACGATGCATATAAGTGCTGTGCCACCAAACGCCGACATCACAATTTGTGTGTCATAAAAACAGGAAACAAAAGCTGCGACGTAAGACATGGACATAGTCTGAAACAGATATCATTCTAAAACAAACTATTTATATATTTTTCTTCCTTTCATCTACTATAATACTCGTGGCTTAACTTTATTGACGTTCAGTTGCACTCAGCTACCAAAGCCATTTCTAAAAGGACAATGTGCATTATGCATTATCTAGTACGTTTAGTATGACCCGGCTATACAGGGTGATCCTTAATGATATGCTAATATTTAAGGGTGTGAATCTACATGAAAAATTAATGTTAGTTTGCTTTATAAACTATGGTTCAAAAATGTTTCCTTACAAAAATTCGGGATGTTGAAGTTTTAGGAAAAAATGGAAATTAATTAATATTTTCATAACCGCTTTAGATATTTCACTGATATTTAGTACGTGGTGAAAGTTGCATATTTTTTAACGCAAAAATAATTATGTATTGACTTCGATATTTTTCAAGAAAAAAATTGTACGTAAATGGTTTTTTGGCAAAAAAAAGTATTATTGAATTCCCCGTTCAATTTGAAACAAATGATCTCTCTTGAGTGGCTTTCCTTCGGTGAGTAAAAAAATAAAAACCGTTCTATCGTCTAACTTGCAAAATTATTATTAATTTAACTGGAAACCAACAAAATGGTTACAAAAATTGTATGCATTAGCATGCATGCTTCCGCCCTCCTTCTCATGGAATTGCGGACTTGATGAAATATCCCAGGAGTGTTTTTTATTCTATCACCAGCTGCAACTATTCTTTCCCTTAATTTCTCTACAGTGTTAATGGGACTTGTGTTCACTAGTGTCTTTAGGTAGCCTCATAAAAAGAAATCTAAACTGTTGAGGTCTGGGGACCTTGGTGGCCATTCTTGGGGCCCACCGCGGCCAATCCAACGATTTGGATAAACAGTCTGTAAATAATTACGAACCGCTATACTGAAACACGCTGGTACACCATCATGCATGTACCAATATTGCTTCTTATTACTAACGGAACATCATCAAGCAGCAAAGGCAACTGTTGTTGAAGAAAATTGAGATAAGTCTGTCCGTCAAGTCGTCCCGGCAAGAAGAATGGGCCAATAAAGTGGTTGCCAATAATTCCTGCTCATACGTTAACCGAAAATTGTTGTTGGAAATGGGTTTCGGTTACGGCATAGGGATTTTCTTCTGCCCACAAAAGATTATTGTGGAAATTCCGAATGGCATTTCGACAAAAATTAGCTTCGTCCGTGAACAGAATCATTGTCTCAAATTGCGAATTTTGTGTAATTTTTTGAAGATACCACTGACAAAAGGTCACATGCCTTGGAAAATCAATTGGAAGTAATGCCTGTACTCTCAAAATATGGTAAGGATATAACAAAAAAATCCACTAGAATTCTCCAAATAATTTGATGGCAAATATTTAACTGTATAGCGATCTTCCACGAACTCATTTCACGATGTTCTTCGACTTCGTGCAGCACTGCTTCCTCAATTTCAGGTGTTCTCACACTTAAAGGTCTACCTTCAGATGTTCCTTTTCGGACAGAACCAGTTTCAACAAGACGACGATGAATATTAGAAAAGGTTCGACTATCTGGCAAAGCACTATCGGGAAATCTCTGGTTATAAATGCATCTGGCTTGCTCGCCAAGGCCATATCCGTAATGCATTTCCGCCATTTCTGCATTTGAATAATGTACCATTATTAACAAGATTGTAAAAACTAAATAATGAAAAAGATGTCACAGCGAACAGATTTGAATAACAGAGACTTGTCAGATGTCAAAAGCCAGTGACATATTCCAGAGCTAGATATTTATTGCTAAATTGCGTTCTTTAATTATTACCTTAATTTTCTCGGACAATAGGACGGTTTTTATTTTTTTACTCAAAAATGGGGCATCGAAGAAAAGCAACTCAAGAGAGATAATTTGTTTTAAATTGAACGGGGAATTCAAAAATACTTTTTATTTGGCAAAAAACATTGGCGCACCATTTTTTTCTTAAAAAACATCGAAGTCAATACCCGGACACACGCCACTGTTAAAGCTAAAAATTATTTTTGCATTGAAAAATATGCAGCTTCATCAACTTTCACTACGTACAAAATATCAGTGAAATATCTGAAGCGGTTCTGGAAATATTAATTAATTTCCATTTTTTTTTCCGAAAACATCAACACCCCGAGTTTTTGTAAGGAAACATTTTTGGGCCATAGTTTATAAAGCAAACAAAGATTAATTTTTCATGTAGATTGACACCCTTAAATATTCTCATATCATTAAGGAACACCCTGTATAACTATACATGTTACGCGACGCGTACGATTTTGTCAATCATTCTTCCCTGACACTGTAGCTCTTACGAGGGGAAATTCTCACAGGTGTATGTGTCACACCTTAGAAATAATATTGCCGAGGTATATACATATAGCCAGGACAAGCTGAATTGTAGTCATGGTGACATTGCTCGTTTAGAGGCTTCTTTGGCGCTGCGAGAAATATGGTTCAGCCTTTTCTTCTAGATGTCACCTGAATGGGCCGCTCATAAAATGTTAAAATCTTTCCTTCTTACTGATTGACAAGTCAAATATGTGAAACAGGTTATGCTAAGCGTGTTGTCAGCAGATTTCGGTCGTCTGAGTGCCACTGGATGTATTCAAACCATAAATTTTGTTTTCTAATTAAACTGGTTAATACATATTATTGATATAACACAAATTCAATTATTTACTTTTGTTGTTGACATTTCATTATATTTGTTTTTGATTCATATTTGTGACTAACTGCAATAATGATATCGTAGTAACGATATTGATATTCCTGGTCAACTTTATTACAAAGTGAATAATTACAAGCCATTTCTTACCACCAAAACCAGAAGCAGCAAGTTTAGAGGAAATACTCTTCTAGCACACTGGCAACACATCAATGCGATAGTCGTTATTATATTTATTCCCCTACAACAATATCCATTTTAAAATTTATGATTCAGCTTGCCAGATTTATTACTTATTACACAGAAACGAAATCAAATGCCTTATGCGTTTAAAGTTGCCTGTTCAGGCACCTAAGGTAACTATGACAAAGACTCACAAATGATGGGGCTAATTAACGTTTTCAGTTTTCTAAAAAGACAAAATTACATTTTCAATAGCTGAATGCCGACCAAAGTTAACCAACCAGGGACATGTGTTTCGTGCTTTTTGGCTACTCCCCAGCATAGTCTAGGCTGGGGTCTCTCGGACAACGAACGAAGGCATAGCAACTATACATTATCAAATGTGTGAGATCTAAGTTTCACGACATTCTGAGAGCGGAACGTAGAAAAAAATGTCTACATCGCGCTAAAGCTGAGTATTTCACAGCTTTGTCGTGATGTTTTGAGTTTGAACTTTTGTAGTGTAAATTTTATCAAATTGCAAGATCTTGAGTTCAGTGGTATTAACAGAGATCAATTAAACCTTATAGGTATAGTTCTGCCAGAGCACAGTGCGTCATGTTCACGTCGCAGCACCGAACTATACCGAACTGCGTTCGCGTCACTCGATCAAAATGAGTAGAAATGAAAATGGAGTCAAGTTCTCGTGTCATGATGTAATTTGCCATCCAGCAAAAAGATATTACATTCGGCTCCAAATCATGCTCAAAGAATGTTTTATTTCCAAACATTTATTTGAAATAGGATATCTATACCTAATGCACTATCCGAAATGATAGCTGTCCAGGAAAATTCCAACCAATTTAAAAACGCATGGCGCAGTTAGATCTTTATAATTCTTTCATCCTTATGTTAATCTACTCAATCATTTGCACATCTCCACCAAAACTCTATTGTCGTTGAAATGGTAATGCATCTACATGCAGGAGTGAATGATGGACAATTGATGTGACGTCTATGTCTGATTATCTTTCGTTTCTTTGAATTCTGAAGCGTACTCGGCATAGTGATAAGAACATCGTATACAACCCTATCAAACGGGTTCTAAAGTAACTTGAAAAGTGTCAACTTGGTACTAGCTGTCATTTATTTCATGCTCACTTATACTACTATAACTGAAGTCACCGTTCTTCGCGGGTTAAAGACTACCAATATCCTTTTATATATCTCCATCTCCCTCATACATACACATGCAACTTACATCTGTATGTGAACGTTTGTTCGGTAAGCTGAGACATACGTTTTTTAGTTGCGTGTCTCCGTCCCAAAAACTTTGTCGTATGACTGCCCTTCAATCATATTTGTCGGAGTGACAATCTACTTGACATCGGCGTGCAATTTGAGTTAACTTGTTCGATATAAAGTTGTACAATGCCCAGAAATATGATCAATAGAGAAGGCTGACAGCTCATGCTAAATTTATTAGAGTATTTCCAGCAAAAGGATGAAAAAAGCGGTCCCCTGTTACCCACTTCAAGCGTACTGGAGAGAGTAGCTGATGCGTCGAAGATTAGTCTGCGCTCATGGTACGGAGACTCGATCTGTTTATTTATTTCATATGGCGTTGACGACCGTCGAGAATGGTGACTACAGCTATACTAACTATTTACAGCTACCTAGTCAACAAGTTGACTATAGGTTTGTTACGTAATAACCCTGTGGTACTGCGACGCGAACGCAACCCTGCGCAAGGCTAATACGCTAGCTCGTAAAATTATAATTTAATGCTCATTACAGTTTACTTAAAAAGGTACTTACAGGGCAATAACCACAACATACGGATGTTCCAGTATCCACAACTTCGTGTATTTTCTGCAAAACGATATAATTTCGCTTAATTGTGTTGACTTTCCTGCCGTATTAAAAAAGAACACGGAAATTGCATCATTCATTCGATTATGATTTATCAGTTCTCAAACTTTATTATGAACATTACGCGTGCAAAAAGGTATTGAAACAGTTCCCAACACCTTAATAATACATAATAAATTGTTTTCACGAGCTATTTTGTTGAAAGTCTTATATTGGAAACAACGCTTGCATAAGGGTTGAATATACCTGAAAGAGACCTAGCAATGGGAAGCTATTATAAGTGCTGCTACGTTAGTCATTGAAATCATTTCCTTATGGATTATAAATAATCATCAAATATTACATCTCATTTTATCGAAGACGACTGAAATTTGCAGTATTCTAAGAACATTATTTGCAAAGCTTTGTTAGTCAAGCTGTATGCGTCATCCTGATACTGCTGCTCAAAAGTTATGTCAGGCGCTGATGTTCTCATTCAATGCCAATCGACTTTAATTCAATTTCAACTGTGAGTTGTAACAGCCTCTTTTTGAGCCCATCCATGTGTTGGCGGAATATTACGCATAAACAACTACATTTTGGGAAAATCTATTTATGGGATGCTATACATTATTTGAGCGCACATTTCTAAAATATTACAGGGTGTCGCAATTTCGACATACATATCAAAGTTGTGTTTTTTCAAATGTCATGCCTCAAATTTTATTGCATATTTGGATAAACCAATTCAAAACAAGAAAATTGATATAACATACTATGGGGTTTTGGTTATTAGCTACTGAGATATAGGGTGTTTTGTCTAGAAAAACCCCCCACTTCGGCAACCCCTCAGTTCGCCATTTTGAAATTCGGAGTGCTGAATTTTCTATCAAAAAAACTTACACACCTCAGCTTTTACTTTATTTGGTGCTTTTTTCGAATTTTAATTTTTGCTCATACGGGGTGGTCAAAAACGCAAATTGTAGTTTTTCTCAGTAATTTCAAATGTATCACCCTGTTTATTTGTGCAAGTTTGGATACAATGTTTTATATACTTTTTGGATACTAGACACATAAGGGTTTTTACGGCTATTTTTTCGGATATTAGCACGTCTTTTATGGAACGGCTTAATTCCCTAAAATATCGCATCTTCCTTGGAAACAAATAAACTGTTGATTAGTTACAAACTCTCAAAATTAGCTTTGTGAACATTATAATAAAAACGTGTTTGAAAATGAATTTTTCTTAAGAAGAAATAGTGAATATGGTGTTCGTTTAATATAATATGCGACATCCAAGGCCGGAAACATTTCCCACACTACGAGAATGTTTTGAATCAAGTCGAACAGTGGTATATAGTGAAGAATGTATAAATAATCCAAGTGTCACCGAATCAGTTGGAGGTTCTATTAAAGTTGCAGGAAAATCCCCATTTAAGTTCACGACAAACTGGAGCAGAAACTGATATATGCAGAACTTCTGTCCAAAGGATTATTCACAAGTATAGGTACCATCCATATCACCTATGCTTGCATCATCAAGGCCTTCGTCCTTAGGATTTCGCAGCTCGAATGGAGTTTAGTAGAATAATGCTAAATAAAGTAAGTGAAGACACTACTTTCCTGGATAAGGTTCTTTTTAGCGATGAGGCAACTTGTAACTGGCATAACATGCACTATTATGCGACAGAAAATCCTTACTGGGTTAGGCAAACAGATTTCCAAAATAAACGGAGCTTGAATGTTCGGGGAGGAGTTATTGGCAGATAAGTTATTGGGCCTTTCTTTTTCGACAACAGATTAACAGGTACAAAATACTTGAATTTTTTGATCGGCTTTGCTTTTGGAGGATGTCAACCTGCAAACTCGGATGCATATATACTTCCAACATAACGGCGCACCTGCGCATTATTATAATCGTGTGCGTTACTATTTGGACACCTGGAGTAACAATCGTTGGGTCGGTCGTGATAGGCCTATATCTTGGCCTCCTAGATCATCAGATATGATACCGATGGACTTCTTTCTATGGGGCTACGTTAAGCAAGAGGCTTATAGATATCCACCACCTACTCCTGAAAATATGAAGGAAAGGATTAAGGTTGCTTTTCTGAACATAGGGGAACACATGCTGAGGGATATGCAACGGTCATTTATTCAAAGACTACGGAGACAAGGTGGAGATATTTTCGAGCAGTTTTTGTAGATTACGTCTTGAGTAGTGATAGTTGTTTGTTTATGTTGTTGTTATAGTTGTTTTTCTCTATTACGCTTGAAGCTGATTTATACTGTTATGATTGTTATTAGTATTTACGTCAAATCTGTACTCTTAGTGTTAATATGGAAAAATCTTATAACAAATTGAATCCAAACTTGCGCAAATATACAGGGTGGTGCATTAAAAATTTTTGAGAAAATTACAATTCGCGTTTTGGACCAACCTGTATGAGCAAAAATGAAAATTCGAAAAAGCAACAAACAAGATAAAATCTGAGGTGTGTAAGTTTTTTTTGATAAAAATTCAGCACTCCAAATTTCAAAATGGCGGTTTGAGGGGTTGCCGAAGTGGACGGTTTTTCTGGACAAAACACCTTACATCTCAGTAGCTATTTACCAAAACCCCATAGTATGTAATATCAATCTTCTTGTTTTGCATTGGTTTATCCAAATATACACAAAAATTTGAGGCATGACATTTGAAAAAACACAACTTTGATATGTAGGTCGAAATTGCGACACTCTGTACAATGGCCAATATTTTAGAAATGTGCCCTCAAGTATCATGTATAGCATCCCATAAATAGATTTTCCCAAAATGTAGTTGTTTATGCGTAATATTCCGTCCACACATGGAAGGGCCACCCTATGTACTTTACTGATAAGAAGGAATACAAATGAACTATTTTGGTGCCTAAAAGCTTCGATGGAAGGAAAATCTCATAAGTAAGATATTTTACAATACAATTTAGCCATCAATTAACCATCTTATCTAATATTTTTTCATTGACCAAAAAACACTTTTTTTTTGAGAGCCTGATGATGACTCATATTATATTAGCTTGTCACAACTCTAGGTCTCTGGAACGTTACTTCATTGCTACTCTAACTCTAACAAAAACGCGATGAATAAATACTGTATCCAAACACAAATACATGTGCCGAGGGGGCATGCGGTCGGGTGGCGGTTGCCACCTGCTGTAGGTGAGAACGGTCCCCAAAAAGAATACATCTTTCTATGGTATCCGATATGCAATACTTACTCAAATATACATAAAGTTGTGAAACCAAACGTACACAGCAACATTAAAGCCAGGATCATATAAACTTTTCTTATAAAGTGTAGGCGTATAGTCGGGTCTTGGAATATAATGTCTACTTCTTCATAATAGTGAGAACTGCGTCTTCGTCTTATAGCATCCTGGCGAAGCTCAGCATCCATATTACGTAGCACGGGTGCTTCCGGGACCTTAGAAGAGTATTAAGATTTATACAACAAAGGTTAGTTCTTACTCCAGTAGCTCAAACTCTGTGTCTTTGGATTTTGGGATAAAATAAATAAAGTGCCTTTTATCAAAAAGCGGGCGTTTCGACGGTCATTTGACGACTTCTTCAGGATGTTTCACCCGAATTCTCATTTATCAGTTTCTAAGCTCAATTATAACGTTTTCATATAGTTAAGCTGTGAAGTAACATTATGGAGCTATTATTTTTAACCACATTCATAATCATTTTTAATTGTAATAAAACTCTTGTAGTGGGTCAAAAATCTATTTAACTTTCTTCATCAATGACTTCAAATAGTTTGGAAAACTAATGTTAGACTTTATTAAGGTTATTGAAAGTACAGGCATTTATTTTATGCTTTACAATGCGATAATTTGAAAAACGTTAAATAAATAAGCCTTGATTCAATAGATATCGATACAGTTGGTACGGATTTATAGTAATAGTATATAATAGATCATAATGCTTAAGAGAGTTAATGTTGATTTTTATAGTAGTAGCTCTTCTACGTAGAATACCGCTCATAATAACCTTAAGCCCCATTGACAAAACTTTCGCGCTACCCGTGTGCGCGTTCCACATTGAAAAGGTGATATGTCGGAGGCAATCATACGTGCCGGTCTGATGGGTAAAGTCTTCATCGATTACGCTGCATTAGAAAATATGATTAAACGAGACCAAGTACTGTTACGTCACACCTTTACGGTAACGTGTGTACTTATAAAAGCCACTAATCATATTAGACGAAAATACCCATGGTTCGCGAAATAATTGTAAAGTCTGGTTTTATTTCTGCAAGTTGTTCAAGGGGGTTTTCAAAACATCGACTCATAAAATGGGTACACAATTTTTGTGGAAAAACTTTTTATTCGACAACAAAGAATGGGGAAACGAGTTTTTGAGAGTCGATCGAAAGTATTGGCAGGAAGGAAAAACAAATTTATATAAGATTTTTAGGTATTTATGAGACCTACAAAATGAGACTACACGTAAAAAGATCCGACTAATAGCAAAAAAGTTATGGCTGAAAACCGCGGCAAACTGGTTTTGGCACTTGTTGGTAATGCGACAATGGTTTCTTGCAGATACTTGAAATTCTTTAAATTCGTAGAAGTCGTACTTCTGAATAACCACAACAAAATTGGAGAAGATTGATCAAATAGTTTTTGAGAATTTACTAGTTGTTTATCCCTAAACACCTGTTTTTCGGCCATCACTACTAGTTTACTGAGCAATATACAGGGTTAGTTCAAAGGGCATTTTATACACTAGTTTACCTTGAAAAAGATCCGGAGTTTAAAAATGAAAAAAATGTCTTTTTGATATCTTCAAAACCGTCAACTGGAATGATCTAAAATTTGGTATGTGAATTTATCTAAGTATTACCCCCATATTCAAAAGTCTTTACTTAAAATTAACGTGCACCAGTGGCAGAGATACAGGGGGTTAGTGGCATTATTTTTCCAAATAAAATATCACGTCACTGTTTTTTTTTCGAAACCCGCAATTTTTCGAATTTTACCCTCAATTTGCTACAAATAATTACTCATGAGTTTTTTCCTAGAGTCCACTGTTTCCGTTAAAATAAAAATAAAACAAGTTAGATCATTCATGAAGAGCCGTGATAAAATAGGAAGATTGGATAGCAACTACACAAAATTCGAAAAATCGCGCGTTTAGAAAAAACAGTGGCGTACTATTTTTATTTGGAAAAATAATGCTACTAATTCCTTGTAACTCCGCCACTAATGCACTTCAATTTTAGCTAAATCCGCATACCAAATTTTAGTTCATTCCTGTTGACGGTTTTGAAGATATTAAAAAAAATTGTTTTTTATTTTTAAACTTGACCTTGTTTCTTTTTAATGAAGTCCTGTTACATAGAAGACCCCCTTAAAATGCGGTCCTGTGTATGTTTCATTTATGGTCACGACTTGTGAATCACCCTGTACATGCGGTGGAATGGCGATATAAAAATTCTGGGCAATGGGAATGCGGGAAAGGCCCTTGTTTAACCATGATATCGATAAGTAAGCTGAATTCTTTAAGATAAAATATTTCGTGGGGGTGATTGTCAGCTTAGATACATATTATGGTCAACGTAGCCACTGAGTAGTATACCTTAAAAAGGGGTAACACTGTTCTACATGTTGACAGCTTGGGTGGTTTAAGCCCACCTAAAGGATTGGTAAACTATCTGGGGAAAAATACTACAAATCTCTACAATAACGATCTGTATCAAGATTCCCAGGACACAAACTGTGGGCAACTATGCCTAGAGATTCTGTACAAAAATCAGTGAATAGTGAGAAATTTGATATTGTCTCAACTGTTCACCCTTAAAAGTCGTTTCTACAATCGAATTGAATTCAAGTTCGGCGTATGGATTGGCTTTAACTGGATTTCACTCTTGCAATAGCATTCCGAACATGGAAGTTGCAAATAAGTTCTATTTTAAACGTAACAACAAGACTAACTTGCAAGTTGTGACAATTCCTACAGGAGCGTACGAAACTTGTGATATTGAAGCTGCTGTCATCAAGAAGCTGTTCGCTAGAAAGGACTTATTTCCTATAGCCTAAAGCCTAATATCAATACCTTAAAGACAGAAATTTATAGTAAGCTGTAGTAGATTTCCGACCAAACGACAGTATAGCAAACAGGGTGTAATGAAGTGAAATTCAGCACATACTCGAAACTCCTCAAAAGTCGTTTCTACAATCGAATTGAATTCAAGTTCGGCGTATGGATTGGCTTTAATTGGATTTCACTCTTACAATAGCATTCCGAACATGGAAGTTGCAAATAAGTTCTATTTTAAACGTAACAACAAGACTAACTTGCAAGTTGTGACAATTCCTACATGAGCGTACGAAACTTGTGATATTGAAGCTGCTGTCAACAAGAAGCTGTTCGCTAGAAAGGAGTTATTTCCTATAGCCTAAAGCCTAATATCAATACCTTGAAGACAGAAATTTATAGTAAGCTGTAGTAGATTTCCTGCCAAACGACAGTTTAGCAAACAGGGTGTAATGTTAGACATTCAGCGCATACTCGAAACACCTCAGTTTATTAACCTACATTCAGCGCATACTCGAAACACCTCAGTTTATTAACCTTTTATGAAATCGTTTGAAAATAGTGACGGAAAATAAATATCAATAAGTCAACAAGATACATTGCTCTCATGCATTATGCAGCCTTGTACCTTGAAGGAAAAATTAAGAAAACCTGATCAGAGACAGTTCAACTAGTGAATAATGCCTTTGAGCTGAATGGTAAAGAATTAGAGCGCGTAAGAGATCCTGGAGTTGTAATAACGATTAGAGAACACTTGTGTTACGATCCCGACGGTAACAAACAATTAGCTATTACAGCCTAGAATTTTCCACAAGTAGGAGTACTAACTTAATACGGATCTGTCAGTCGCACTACGAGTACCTTTGTTACATATATCCTGTTTGTTGACTGTATAACATGAGAATCCTGTTTGGTAGACAAACACGTCTACTACTATAAGCATATGATGCATAAAACTTAGTTACACACATTTCTGAACGATGTACAAACTAGACATGCTATCAAAAAGGTCATCCTACGTATGAAAACTGCATCAAGCGGAATCGCTTAGCAACCGACCTTTTAGCTTGGCTGTTCTAAAAAAAGTGCGACCAAATCATCTATAGCGGATGTCAAATTGGAATATGCAGCTAACAGCGGATTTCCGGCCAACACTGGAATGTATCGGAATTCTGTTGTTGAGAGTCTCCCATTCAGACAGCTTTTTGGTTAAAGAATTAGCAGAACTGGTGGATTTCATACATTTTCCGCCCAAATATTCCGTTTTCATTATTCAATCTCAGATAAAAAAGACAAGTAAGGTGGAAGGAAAATAATTGTCATAGATTACGTTATCCCCCAGGCTACATTAAATTAAATCAAGCAAGTGCTCCAAAAACATTTAAGTGACGTAGATATTGTATATGTGAAAGGTCATCAGAAGTTAAATGTGTTAACCTCATATAAGTTGTACAATTTAAGAAATAACAAAAGGAAAATGTTAAATTTAGTGCTTTACATATTGGTCAATCGTATAACAATTGTAGTTTCTATGAAATAAACAGTGAATAAGAACATGTTACCTCTATCTCCCCCTTCAAGCATATTTTCATTTTTTTTCTCATTACTTTCATAATCATGATGCAGTTTCATTCAAATTCATTGATAATACTTGCTGCTAAGGTAAACAATAATTCTCATGTTTTCCGGCCTAGCATTGTTTTAAAGCCGGTGTCCTTTGCACGATATGATTACAAACATTTCAGTTCTTGGTTTCCTTTCGACCATTCAACATGTGTCTCAATTAAATTGAACTTATCATTGTACACTATACCGTATAGTGAATCTGTTTTTTAATGTAAAAACTAATATTATTGTTGACTAATGGTACTAAACTATCACTGGAACCTTTTGGCTTTAAACGACCTCCAGGTAAACCGTTGTGCTGCATGTATAGTGCCACGTGGCAGAAGCGTGCGTTTCACGTAGTGTGGCACTGTTACTGCCTTAACATTACTAGTTTCAATTGTACAGTCTGTTTGTATTGTTAATTAATTTTAATTTAACAGAAAAATGTCACATTCTAAAATACTGAGCTACATGCAATGTGAAAAGGTATTAGTGATTTCAGTAAAAATGAAGTAGCATTGTTTCCACTAGATTTTTTAATTGATCATGCAAAGCCTTACGAACTCCTAGAAGTTTGGACCAAATTACTCGAGGAATACTACCATTTTCTCTGGACTACAAGCGACAAAACTTTGAAACATATTGATAGCACCATGCGAATAAATCAGTACAGTACAGCTCTTCTTTATTATTAATGTAATGCTTAATAAATGCATTGCAAAACCAATACCCTGTCCGTTTACATCCTTGAACAATAAATAATTTTAATGGTGGGATGAAAAATATAAACCCATGAACATTTTCGTAATTCAACAGTTTTCCAAAATGACTTCAACTGCTGCGGACGAAATTTTTTAGCTGGTAATAATGGAAAGGTATTTTTATTCATTCTAATCAAAACTATTTAGACTTTAATCTACTTGCTGACGATAATATCTAACTACTAGCTACTGTTGATTAAATATATGATGTCAAACCAGAAGAAGAAAGGTTAAAAGCAATTAACAATATTTTACATTATGTGATAAACAGTATAAAAAATTGACAAAGTCCATTGCTTGTTAGCAGGAAAACCTGAATAAAATGAAATAATCACTCAAAGTGATATTGCAGAGGTAGCTAAAATCTGTATTATATTTTTATTACAATAAATTTTATAGATAACGACTTTAAATTTACTGTACAGTCTAATCATTCATTTATCGTACAGCAATTAGCAACTTGTCGGTAACCGTATCCAAGATTCGGCGACACGAATTCCGTTCATGATAACCGACAAACCACCGACTGCTGTACAATCATGAACTGTTAAAAGTAAATGCTAACATAATTTCTATCCCGGAATCGTATATTTAAATTACAGGTGAATGAGTATACCAACAAGTCTATGTAGTATAATTCGAACATATGGTGAATGTGTATACCAACAAGACTAAACTATGATTCTTATACAAGTATATGGTGAATGTGTATGTGTGTACCAGCAAGACTATGCAGTATAATTCGAACATATGGTGAATGTGTATATCAAATATGTACAGTATAATTCCTACAAATGGTGAATGTGCGACAATTTTATTATACTGGGTAGGTGTGTATAGCGAGCCAAATTTTCATAAGTAAACCATAATAAAATATACTATAACAGAATATAACCACGAAACACAACTGTTGTATATTGTGCGGTTGCTGATATGGCAAAATGCTGTTAGGATCTGTTTTTCCAACATTTTTTGGACCACTACAACTATCAAAACGTACCGAACCTATTGTGGTAAAAAATTAAATTTACTTAGCAGGATGTTATTTCGAAGTGTTTGAATGAGCTGTGTTGTCGAATTGGAGAAATGAAAATATTGCGGGTTAAAAAGCAATATTATCTAATGTATGCATCGCTTCCTGATGCAGTTTATTGTTAATATTTGCGAGGAAGAATGAAGTTAACAGCGATTTTAGACATATATTTTGCTCGTTGAGAAGCCTTATGTATCATTATATGTACATATAGCATCCAGCAATGGTTTTAATATCTAAAATAACATTATGCATCTCCTGAAATAGTTATTCCAGTCATTCCAGAAACTTAAACTACTTTTTGGATTTACCAGGAATTTGATTCAGAATATGGGACTCAAATCTCCCGTATTCCTTACTTATGACAGAGATTCATACTTGTGGATACTGGATTTTCACAACATTTAATACCTAGTTTTACAGCTACACTCTGCGGTGTGTTTTTTCACTGTTCTATATTATTAACTATGAATGCGACATTATCATACGATGTAACGAGCGTCTAATTGCATGCACATTCGAATGCGGCGTTACATAACGGACCGTCACGGATGATCGCTTCTGACATATCGAAAAATTTTGTCAATAGTGCCCTTTAAAGTTATTTTGAGCGACAATCCGCCTAGAAATTTCAAGAAATTATCAGTGCTTAAATATTATGTTTACAGACACGAGCAGGTACCGATGAAAATTGAGTTTTTGCAATTTTCAGGTTTTGAATCGCCTAACGGTTTCTGCATCCAAACTTTCCGGGATTATCTGACATGTTACAAACGTTAAACGCGTCGTGCTTTAACATACGATAACCCGCTGTTAATTGGGTCGTAATTGGCATGACGTTTTGATGATAATATAAACTGTGTAACATGCAATAAGCTATTTACAGGTAAATATATTAGGTTTGTCGGCTCAATATCTATAGCATAGCCCGCGTCTACTTCAATACTAAATTCGAACAATGGGAATGTTTTCGTTACAATGTGATATGACAATCTATGTGAATAGTAGACAGCGGAAGCGCATAGCCTCCATCGCTGAGTACTAGTAGATGAACGTAACTATTTCATCGTAGACTGACACTAACGCAATGGTAAAAGCACGGTGCGTTTAACGTCCGTATTACATTTCTCTAATTTGCTTTAAGTGTAGAAATAGATATGTTTTCAATATACGCGTGCCGGACAACTGAACGAGCGTACGTCAGTCTGCTTCGATTGCTGAGGGATAACTGAATGTGTATTCGGGGTTGTGCATGCAGCCCGCGCTGTATTGCCTCGTGCTAGGTGGTCGGAGAGATCAGTAGACCGCAGCGTTGTCAGATCTGTGGATAATTGTATGAGATTCTTTAACTTCTATGATTTACTTGTCCTTCGTAATACGTGTTCGTAGCCAGGTTGTGCCGAATATAATCCTTTATGTACTGATATGTAAAAAATGCAGGTGCAATATATTAGACGCCACTTTTCGGTAGTTAGCTCAACTCTGAGCCTTTTTGTTCGACAGACCTTGCCTTCCCTTCCTCAAATTCGCATCTGACTAAAACCTCACCTCAACAATATCCGCCCTTCTCTGGTATGGACCTCCGCTGGCTATGTATGCGGTTCTTGCATTTGGGTCGTTATTCAACCTTTGGTTATGTTCCTTAACCTTATAATTTTTATTCGTGTCTCCAATTGTATCCTGGAAATGATTGAATTATAGGTGTCCTATTGCTGAGATCAGTAAGGTACGGTCTGACGACGATATTTGTTACTTTTTGATTATTTTATTTCATTTATTTAAACATATGATGTGAGAATAGATAAAAACCTCTAATGATCTACTCATTAGTCTTGCATACAAAGCTAGTGTTCTTATCAGCATAAGATGTGATGCTTATGGCAGAATTCCCTTCCATCGATTGTAAGTCAAACTTGAGCATTTTGCTGTCTCACTTAAGAATGGAAACAATTTACCTCTCAGTACGGCGAGATCCGCGTACGAATACACAGACACACCGCGTTAACAGTGGCGTACGATGAGTTATGTTGCCATTTCATAAGCTTGTAGTTACAAAAATGGACTAGTTTTTCAATGGCCATAAAGAAAAATTTTGGCAATTCCAAAATATACTAGCTTAGATTTTCAATCCATGACGGATGCTAAATAAATTTATTTACGACATTCCTAGTCGAGAAACGAATGAAATAAGGAAACTAAAGAAATTTGTATCAGATTGTTATGAAGATCAAGAGGTAGAAATAAAGGACATACTGGACGAAATCAAAAAACTGCGAGATGAAAGTGGTGCACTTAAAGTAAAATTAGAAATAGTCGAAAACAAAATACTATAAAACAAAAAAAAGAAAAAGTCTCGTTATTGCCGGCCTAACTAAACACTAAGATGAACTTGAAGAATGCATTAAATAACATTATATAGAAGAAATATATAGACTATCGTCATAGCAAGATTATTATCATTATTACATACAACTATTACCAAAGCTAAAATATATACAGACAAACAAACAAAAAATTTTAGAACGAGTAAAATGCCTACGATGAATAAAACTTAATGAATATGGACTACAAGGAAGAGGTAGAGAGATATTTTTCAATGAGGACCTGACTATGCAAAATCCACTTCTTTTCGAAGTATATATGAGAAAATGGGCCATGATTTTTTTCTTATGGTTTGCTATTGAATCTGAAATGCGCAGATCTTTTTACTTCATGATCTCAAGGCCAAACTGTTGTGTCTTATATTATCTCCTCGCAAGCTAAACAACAATGTTCTCTCTAAATGTCGAAGTAGGTATTTACCGCAATTCAGATACATAAATGCACATGCAGCGTTTTGGTCGGAGATTGCATAACAATTAATCGGTGTGTTACGACAATAGTTCTTTGTCGCTTTTTGCGTTTTCGGCGTCTGGTACATTAAAAAACGACATAGAACCTCATGCTGGCGTTAAATTGCAAAGAGGACTTCGAGCAACCTTAGCATACTACAGCACCTTTCAGACTATTGTAATAACACACTGTGTAGAAATATGAAAATAAAAGGCGAAAACAAACGAGATGTCATCTGGAAGACATAATAAAATATGTAGTCAAAAAGTGTCAATTGAACTTCAAGAAAATCGCCGACGGGACGGAAACGTCATTCAATAAACCCCTTAAACACGTTTGGTATCTGGGTAGCCAGACCTGACAGACTAACAGACCGACGAGACTTGCAAAGGTCCACCGGACCGCTCTGACGAATAATGGCGAATAGTAGTAGTCGTTCAATAGAGTGCGGTTTTGATTCGGCCAGACAAGCATTGGGATTATCGAACCACAGGATAAGTTTCAGATGTTTCTTTCCAACATGATGTTTCATAAATTGTGGCTTTAATAATTTTATATTTACTCACCTCCCTATGTTACTTAAATTTTTTAATTTGACTAATTTTTTGTGTAATTTTAAGGTCTGAAATACATCTTTATTAAAAAAAACGTGGTACGCTAAATGTTACTTACTTTTTCCTCTGATATAATAATACATGATTCTTTTTCATCTTCCCAAGCAGCACTTTTCTCAAGTGTCTGTTCACCATATTTATCGTTTAATGTATATTCCTGTTCATCTTTTAGTTCCACTTTTACGTAATCTTTCTGACCATTTTCTACTGGATGTAATTTAGAAATAGTTACTATGTTTTGCAATATTGATTTATCCATTACACCACATTTGACGTGACCTAGAATCGCCAAAAAAGACAACTCAACGACATGTGATGGTTTGTGAAAAGATGTCAGTGGAAAAGTATTTAATACAAACCGAATTATTCTTATCGTGCTGCGCGAACTCTCTTTTTATCCCTCTCGTGAGCCGTTCAAACACATACGATACTATTACTGAATTCTTTAGAATTCTCGAACAAGGATATTTCAAAAACGTGAAGCAGTATCATAGCATATACAGGGTGTTCTCGAACTTGAGACTTTTCTTTACAGGTAATAATAAGCAAGTTTCCTGGTAGCAAATCAGGCACCGCGCGGTGTTGGTTAAATCCAGTTTATTTACAAATCGTATTCAAAACAACGAAATTCTTGCAGCAGTAACGTACCTATAAAGCTTCAAATGTTAGGAATTTAGTGATCTAACCCATGTTTTTGAATCTCGAACAGCGACAACTTCAAACAGTATTTGCAGACAAAATGTGTGTACTTTAAATTCCTTACCAAATGAGTAGTGAGTATTTTTGTTCAATTTCTTTTATGCGTTTCGGTGTAGGTAGTAGGTTCTGAAAAGGGAAGTTTCAACTTTCAGGACACGTGGTAAAATCAGGATTGATGGGATCAGCGACGTTTGGGACTATACATAAATAAGTTATTTATTAGGCTATAACGATTTGATAAAACGTAACAAACTTATTCATTCTGCTGAAAATCATCATACTTCCTGTAGACCGAAAAATTCGGGAATAATTCAAGTCATTTGTTGATCCAGTCTCTCAGCATCGCGTCTGAACCACAACACAGAGAGACCCAAACATTTGTAGACTTACTAATTGATATCCAAAGAAGCTTATAGGCATATCTTTAGCCGCAAACTTTTCGCCAATTTTGCAGTGTCATTTCACATCTAATTGACGTAGTAAATACCAAAATCTACAACAACACCGTGGCCTACCATCGTTCCACTCAAACTGTGACCGTCAGCTATACAGGCATTTTATTTTGCACCAGCTATTGCCCGCCACTTCATGCGCTTTAAATTCTTACTAACATAAATCATTGTTTTTAAGTAATGCTATCGCGATCACGTCTTATATCTTTGATTACATTAATAAATTGACAGCCAACTGGCATGCTTGGGAAATTTGAGTATTTATCAGTGGCGCACCTACATATTCAGGAGGTAAAACCGTGGGACAGAAAGCTAATATTCAATATATTTGATATACTAAGTTCCTCCCTCCATCAAACATATTTTATATTCCCTAGCAGGTAAATACCATTAAACAACAAACTGGGTGTCTGTAGATGCACCTTATGGCAGACAATTTATCAGGGGCTAACCGTAGTATTACTCTCGAAGGAGCACAGAATAATTGCTAGTAGGAGAGAAAATAGGCAGCCAGCTCGTATACATGTACTTTTATCTTAATTAAGTGAGAAGTTGCCGCAGAATAAATTAATTAGGTTTCTGCGTATTGTGTGGTGTTCTGCGCGTGTACGCTTATTTGCGTATGAAAGGAATGACCACGATAAACAAATATATTATTTGCATTATCCATCTAGTAGCAGTAACACATTTTTATCTGCAATTACTGTTGACACCTGACAACAACACGCAGAGTTGCCTTCAGATCATAATTATCTTTTTTCGGTTTGTTCTTGGAAATACGGCAGCCTACAATTGCCATTTTAACAGATAATCAGTTATCAGTTATCTAATCACATGTCGTTGCCTAGGAAAGCGTTTGAACGTCTTTTCCTGTTGCGCTCGACAACAGATTATAAAATATTTCTTCCAATTGCTATGAATAATGTGGCCCTCACAGCTCTGCCCCTGTTCACACATGTTTCTTAACTACGATCCATGTTCCAAGAAACGTACGTGTTCTATTACATGCTCCTTTTGTTTTCAGGTATTATTACAACCACTTCTCGGAAACTAGACAGGGAAACTCAAGATGAACACGTGCTGGAGGTGAGTGTTGTATTTTCCGTATTTTCCAGATATGAATTTCCTTCTACATTATGGCGCGTATAAAGTAGGTCAGACTTGGTTAGATGGATGAAGCAATAATCCACAGCCACTAATTGTATGTTGGTTTGAGTATTTATGTCTAGCGCTGTCTAGTTACACTTTGAACTCATAAACTTTGCTATATGGTGTACGATCATAGCGGAGCTGGTTGATATATAATGATCTGTACGACATCTTCTACAGCAAACTTTAGAAACAAAGTACCTATTCGTTACCATATTTATGACTCGGTTCCGCCAGGGACGAGACTGCATGCAGGCGAAGAAGTTCATAACAGCCCCTGACAAACGTCGAGAATCGCTCAATCTTTCGATGAGGGTTTTCACCGGCTACTGTAGATTGAAAAGCCCAGTTTTTTAATCGCTGACTAACTATCAATTTTGGTAACTACAACCTGCAAGTTGACTGTTAGTTTTCCGAAAATCTTCTTCTTCTAGTTTCCCAACCCGCTAAATTGCTTACATCTGAACTTCCGTGTTCTGTGCATTTTATGACAATTTATGACTCTCGACGTTTGCGTCTCGTGTCGATAAGGTGCTTAGTGTCATAAAGCTGCTTTATATGCGAGTCTGTTCAGAACAGATTCAAATTCTAATTCCAGATTTTAAATAGTGATTATTTATTAAATTTTTCAGCTAGGAACTACAACAGCTATAATTTCCTGTGCTAGAACGGTCATATGTTACACTATAATTTTTAACAAACAATTAAAAGAGCATGTGCAACGATATATCAACCTGATGCTTGCTTTTGGGTGTGGGTCACCCTGTATTTAAAATGCAAATTATGTAAGAAGATCGCCAAGCTCACGTATAATATAAAATATCAAGTAAAAAGTAAATAATATATTATAGGATATCATAAATCTACATGCATGCATAAACTTTCAAATAAGACGTTTTAAATAAAACTTGGGACCCTTGCGGTGCGCTTCTGTACGAAAAAAAACTGTAAGTGTACCAATTTCTCATAGTTTTTACACTTATAAGTGGATGTTTATTTTTTTCATGGTATGACAAATGCTTATTAAAGCTCATCCATAAACATACTTTGTTTAGAGAAAAAATGTTTATCCATTTTCAAACAATTTTACACTACAGTTTAATATTGTTGCTGTAGAATACCAAAGATTGGTTAAACAAAAAGACAGTTAGACAATGCGAATAAATTGGAGAGATATAAAACATGTAGACACAGCTGATGGCGTCTAAGCATAGTAGAAGTAGTAGAAAGATTTATTTAGCACATTTGGCTACATAAACAGAACAATTGTAAACAACTTAGAACTAGTAAATTCAAGCCATATGGTCTTTGATGTAAATGCTGGGCAACCTATAATTGTAGATTTAACAAGTGATTTCTCAATTTTACTTTAAATTTTGTCAAAGTTTTCTGGTCTTTTATCTCCGAGTATAATTTATTATATTCAATCAACCCTTGATGGAATACAGATTTGTAGCATATGTTATACTTTTTGGTCATTAAATGGAAGTCATCTTTATTTCTGGTATTATGTAAATGATGGTCGACATTTGATGATGTTAAATTAGTTAGACTTGATGGAAATATATTATTTTTTATTTTATAAATGAATATCATTACAAGATATTTGATAAAATTTTTTACACTGAGCCATTTTAATTTGCTAAGCATTTGCCTAATTGGAGTATATTTATCTTTATTTACTATTATTCTCATGCACTTATTTTGTAAAATTTGCAGTCTTTCAAAAATGGAATTATTTACTAAATATAGAATAGTTGAACAGTACAAGAAATTTGGAAGAATGATGGTATTATAGATAATTTTTCTGCTAAATGAACTCAGACATCCAGAAACTCTCGATAAATATCCCACTTTACTACTAATCTTATTTATAACTTTTTCATAATGAATATCAAAAATTAATCGAGAGTCAACAAAAACTCCCAGGTATTTAAAATTTTCTACGAATTCAATATCTTCACCATCAATATTCAGTTGAACATTTGTACATTGTTTTTTTCCGATTAACAAGGCTTTCGTTTTACTTGCATTTAATTTTAGTCTGTTAGATGCTAACCATTTTGAGACAAGCTTCAAGTCTTCATTTATATAGGAGATACCAGACTGAATATTTTTAGTACTTATATAAATCATAGTGTCATCGGCGAAAATTTGAATTTTGCATTTTTTGACTATGGCAGGTAAATCATTTATGTATAAAATAAAAAGAAGTGGTCCCAGGATACTGCCCTGTGGAACACCCAACGTATTTTAAATTTTTGATAAAATAGTGTCATTAACTTTTGTAACTTGCATCCTTTTAGACAAATAATTTCTAAACCAATCTAAAACACTTCCTGTTATACCATATGCCTTCAATTTACCTAACAAAATATCTCTATCAATCGTTTCAAATGCCCTCTTCAAATCCAAAAATACTGCTATGACAACTTCTTCTGAGTCTATGGCTCTTCTCCAATTCTCAGTTACCAACTGGAAAGCTGTTTCTGTGGAATATTTTTTAACAGCATGGGCTGTTCATATTTGGGCAGAGATAAATGCGGTGTTGCCAGATAGATAATCCTTATTGAATAAATTCATTATCCATCACTTGTAGTGAAAGCATTTTTATCATCCGATTTCAGCGTACGAAATACACATTTCATTCATTAAAGTTATAAATCACACTTTTCGCCAGTGCTTTCCGCGTCATGTAGACAGAAATATATCATCAAGATCTGTAAGTTAAACTGGGCAAGTCTGCTGTTTACATCAAAATACGTAAGATTTGTCTAGTTCTTAAAGTATGATATCAGTACGTGATGATGTAACAAAAACATTGCGATCAGTTCTCTTACTAATAGGCAGAAGAAACCCATGTTAAATGTAGGTAACCGGCGGACTATGAAGACATTCCACGAATCGTCTTCTCTTTATACAACTGCTCTTTGCTTGCTTATGCGTTGTAGAAATGATAAAATGAGTACTCAAATTTTTCCAAAATAAAAGAGCGTTTATCGTTCGAATATTTTGTGAAGTTATATGATTATTTAGCTCCATGCTTTCGAGTATGTAGATCCATGATATTAATTAATTTAACTGATTCACAACAATTTTGGATAGTGGATTTGGCACTGTTGCTCTGAAAATCCTAGAAAATTATCTTAAGTACATGGCCGCAATGTCACGCTAATGAAAATCTTTTGTATGCTTGTGTGTTCGGAATACTTAGCTCAATTGGGTATCTGAAAACAATATGCTCAACTATCATTTATTTTCTTTGTGGCAGTTAAGCCCAGCAAGACTGGTGTTCTATAGAGCACTGTTCTAATTTAAATTTAAATTACTTATTACATGAGAATTTCATATACATTTTAATGTTTCGCACAATTAAACTGGCAGTGTTATAAACTCCAGCAAGAAAAGGACATTACAGTCGGCAGACTGGTTAAAATTAGCAAATCTAAATCTTCATTCTAAATTAACAGACCTGGATAAGAGGTGTTTCTAGATATTTTCGGCTACGGAACGAGTACACAACCAGTGTACAACAGCTAGTTGATATCTTGTGGAAAAACATACATAATGTTACAAAAAAATAAGTAATTTCAAAAAAACGACATGTCACTTTTCAAGATACGTAATACCCCTACTTCTTCTGACTCGTCCTAGTCTATATACATTTCTTAAATAAAACCGAGATTTTTATGAAAAATGTTAACCATTCATCAACCCAACTATAATTGTAGTCACCGTTCTTGGAGGGCCAAAGTAAGACTACCAGTAAACTTTATATATCTCCATCTCCCTGATACATACACATGCAGCCTACCCTTGTGTGTGAACGTTTGTTCGGTAAGCTCAAAGACATACGTTTTTTAGTTGTGTGTCTCCGTCTCTAAAACTTTGACGTTACGAATGAGTGCCCTTAATCATATTTGTCAGAGTGACAACTTGACATAGGCGTGCAATTTGAGTTGTCCTGTTACCAATCTTCAATATAAAATTGTACAATGCCCGATCAATTGAGAAAGCGGCCTTGCTTCAAAATCAAAAAGTGCTACCACGATTCCATGGACAAAGATTCTTCCAAAAAATGGGTTTGTGAGATGATACCGGCATTACAATTGCCATCTTTAGTAATGATGGATTATGCCTCTTAGTGCCTCAACAGAAAAAATGCAAAATTCCAGTTGGAGTAAAATGCAATTGAAGCAATGGCTGCGAGACACAAAAGATACATTTTGATAATCACGCTTTTAAACTCTGCTTTTAAATCTATGTCACCTTTATAAACCATCGGCTCCAAGATATATCATAGACGAAATATTACATGAACATGGACATCAAGTTTTGCGGCTTCCCCCTTACCATTGTCAATACAACCCTATTGAGTTAGTCTGGGGAATAGCCAAACAGTACTATGATCCTCATATTGGGGAAAATGGCTATGTTAAAAAGGAAGTTTCAAAAGTTTGGAACGGTGCTCTAGGACTCCTACAGTTTGGGCCAAATGTGTGAAACATACCGAGGACTTGATTAAAACGACTGGGACGAGCATCATCTGTTTTATAGGAAGGAGACTAATAATCATTAAACAATTTTAAAAATTTATAATCCTTAATTTTCTGTGGGCACCTTAATGTAGATTGTTAAATATTTTGATAGATATGGAAATTACAAGCTTGATATTCATTATGGCGACATAGATTTAAAAGCTCGAGTTTAAGAGCATCACCATCAAAATCGTAAACAAGTGGTGACTATCAATGGGTATCGTTCGGAGATATTCTTAGTAACTTCAGGCGTACCACAAGGTAGTCACTTAGGACCATTGTTATTTAACATATACATGAACAACCTTACTTCTGTCTTTCATTTCAGTAAATATTTGTTATATGCTGATGATCTAAAGATATTTACTATTGTTAGAAATGTAAAACTTCAAAGCGATT